GGCAACTAACATAACAGCATGTGAAGTAAAGTTAATAATTAATATTTAATAATAATTAATATAAGTTAATTGTGTATTTATTATTAATAGGTTTATTATAATTAATTAGGCGTTGTCTCCGATGGTCAAAATTGCTAAGGAGGTTGTGAAAGTGAACGGATACGATAAAGTGATTAAAATAATTAATAAACGATCAACTGAACTAACAGTAGGACTAGGTAATAATAATAATAATAATAATAATAATAATAATAATAATAATAATAATAATAATATGACAGAGTGTTGTTTCATTGCTAGGTTGTGATATTCCTTGTAAGGCTAATGTGTTGGTCAGTGAAGTGTTTGATTCTGAGCTGATAGGAGAAGGAGCCATTGAGACCTTCACTCATGCAAAGAAACACTTACTGACAGTGAGTGATGGGGACCAGTGACTCCAGTATTGGAGGTTCTAATACTTTATAACCTGGATTAAGAATTGGGGGGTCACTTTGGAGCCATTTTTCGATAAAAACCATGGGCTATAGCCTTGGGTATTGTTCAGATTTTTGTCATTTTTTTTAAATGGCTGTAACTTGAAAAATTGAAGTCGGAATCAGCTCAAACTTGCTATACAGCATAAGGACATCAATATGTATCAGAAAATGTAATAAAAATTTGGGGTGATTTCAGGGCCATTTTTTGGAAAAAACCATGGGCTATAGCCTTGGGTACTTTTCAGATTTTTGTCGTTTTCTTAAAATGGCTGTAACTCAAAAAATTAAAGTCAGAATCAGCTCAAACTTTCTACACAGCATAAGGACATCAATATGTATCTTGTACATGTACATGCTATTATTATTGTTTATTATTATTAATAGGAGGATGCATTAATTATCCCGTCCAAGGCTACAGTTTATGTTAGATTGATGGAAAGTCCGTTTCTGTTTCAGTCACAATCAATTGACACCAATCAAGTAATTAACTAATTAACAATTCATCATTATTAATAATTATTAATCAGTTTCCTCATGAACTCAATATTAAGACCCCTGGGGACTGGAAACATTGCCCGGGCCCGGCCTCACTATGGGATCTTCACTTAGAAGAAATTAAAGATAAATGTACAATATTATCAGACCCAGTGGCAGTGGGAGAGTAAGAACACATGATGTAATGTATTAATTAATTTATTATTATTATTATTATTATTATCATTAGGTTTGATTTTTCTGATCCTAACCTACCCAAGAAGAGGGTTTTCCCCTTCGTATCAGTCACACCCACTCATACAGGTACATATACATGTATACATGTATTATTATTATTATTATTATTTTATTTTTATTTTATTTTTAGGTGTTCTTCATTCTATTGCTGTGTACTGGAGTATCAGTATGCCCCAGGGGGTGGAGCTTAGCATGTCACCATGGCAACAAGATCATCAAGTTAGTACATATACATATTAGTTAATTAATTAATTAATTAATTTATTATTATTATTGTTGTTGTTATTATTATTATTCCTAGTGGCGTGATCATTGGTTGCCTTGTGTTCAGATATTAAGTGATCCAATCAACATTAATAAAGGTAATTAATTAATAATTAATTAATATATCTATTAATTAGTATAAAGGTGAAACCGTGAATATTCAATTAGTTAATGATGAGTTTACACTATGGGCTGTCATTGAAAACAAGTAATTAGTTAATTAATTAATTATTTATTTATTTAATATTAAATTTTCTCTCTCATTAATATTCCAGTATTAATTTCTCTCCCCATTCTCCTCCATTGTGTTCCTGTGGTCTCCACATGTCCTTCAGTAGAGGAAGATTAAGAATGATTAATGATAAGGAGAGGAATGAAAGGATCAACCAATCACTGGGAGAGGTAAGGGAGGGGCTAGGGGCGGGGCTTAAGGGGGGGGGAGAGGCACTTGTAGTACTAAATTTAATTATGATAAATTAAAGTAATCTTTTATTATTATTATTATTTTTTTTATTTTCTTAGTTGTTAGTTGGTAAATCTACTGTTCTTTGTGTCGGTGATGGTTCATTTCTTCCATTATTTTGTGCTAGTTATAAATCAGTTAAAAAGGTAATTAAAGTGTGTGGGTGTTAGTTGCATAGCAACCTTGTCTCTGTAGATATTCTCAGTTGAGACCAATCATCACTCCTTCAGTACAATGGAACAAGTGAGTCCATTATCTGATACATGTACTTACCTGTATGTTGTGGAGAAACTTTGAGCTGATTCTGAGCGAAATTGAAGTTGCATCAAAATTGGGCCAAAGTTCCTGTACTATAGTACAGGGTCACGGGCCAAATTTTGCCAAAAATGAAAAGTAGAGAATTCTTCATTTTTATTACATTTCCTGATGTATATACATGTACTTATGTTGTGTAGAAAGTTTGAGCTGATTCCAATCAAAATTGGATTTTTAACGAATTTTTTAAGTTGCTCCAAAATCAGACAAAAGTCCCTGTACTATAGTACAGGGTCACAGGCCGAATTTTGCCAAAAATGAAAAGTAGAAAATTCTTCATTTTTATTACATTTCCCAATCCAAATACATGTTCTTATGTTCTATAGAAAGTTTGAGCTGATTCTGATCAAGTTTGGATTTTTTACGAATTTTTAAAGTTGCTCCAAAATTGAGCAAAAGTCCCTGTACTATAGTACAGGGTCACAGGCCAAATTTGCCAAAAATGAAAAGGAGAGAATTCTCCATTTTTATTACATTTCCTGATACATATACATGTACATTATACAGTTATGTTAATGACTGTTTCTCTCTCCAGATCATATCTTGTTCCTCATTATCAGACTCCATTAGTTTATTGTCTGTTGATCCTAATGACATCACACCCACTCACTTAATTGGACACTCTATTGATATCCTGTTAGCTGAACCATTCTTTGTTTCCATGACGTTACCATGGCACTCTCTTTACTTCTGGTATGTACGGACTGCACTAGATCCTCTTCTGTCGACCGATTGCACAATAACCCCAGGCTCCGCCCACTTAATGGGAATAGCCGGTAACTAACATGTACATGCACTTGTGTAATTAATTAATTTGGTATGTACATGTAATTAATTAATTATTTATTTATTTATTTATTTATTTATTTGTTGTTTTTGTTTACAGTTAAATTTGAAAACCTTCATCTATTGAAACATTCTCTTGGAAAAGTTGAAGAGTTTTACTTAACACCTTATGATGATGCAGTAATTAATAGATTAATTAATTAATTATTAATTAATATTCATTAGGTAATGGAAAGTATTCCTGATATTAATAAGTCCTTGCCCCCTGAGGATTATTCACTGTGGGAATATCCCTCCTACCCCCTCAGTGGGGTCCAGACACTAATGAAATTTGACTTTACATCTCCAGTTCCGAAAGACACAATATTGAGAGAGAAAGGAAGGTATAGGACCCGCTAATGTGTACATGTACGGTATTTTATTAAGTAATATTGTATTTTTTTTAATTTTAATTAGTTGGTCGTTGACCACACCCACTTCTTGTCACGGGATTGTTCTTTGGATGGAGTACAGTACTGGATGGACTCCAGTTTTATTAGACGAGCCCATATTTGGTCATAAGTTGAACTGGTCGTCTAATCAGAATCAAGGAGTGTGTTTCTTTGTAAAGGAGGATTATGAGGGGGAGGGGTCAGTAGGTGTGGCTTATAATATCAGTATGAACACTGGAACTGGTGACTTGGGTATGGAATTTGAACTAATTTTTTAACTACAAACTACATTGAAGTAATGTACTTTTATGTGGCTGTTTTAAAATGTTTGAAATTGAAAACGATCAAAATTTTCTTCAAAAATTTGCATTTTCGTATATTCTTATGCTGTGTAAAAAGTTGCTCAGTTATTTGAAACTGGCACAGATTAATCCCACTCTGAATGGCTGTCACAACTTGCTATGCTGGGAAAGCAACCTCCTTCCTTTTATTATAAAAAGAAAAAGACTTACAATAATAGCATTACAATTTCTTAAAGCAGCAAAAGTAGCAAAGTACATTAATGATAATAATAATAATAGCAGCAAAAGTTAACAATAGCAGTTCCTAAATACAGCAGTTTTATAATCACTCAATACATTATTTAGTAACAGTAGTTATTAATGTCACTATCACACTTATAAATGCAAAGGCAATGGATACATAAGCAATGTTTAAATTAAAAGGAATACTAGCACACAATATACGTAACCTGAAACTAAACTTCCTCCTCTTCATTGACTCAATGAACTTTGTTAAGATATCTTCAATATCCTTATATTCTTTACTTGCTTTCTCACTAATCTTCCTTATAACACGTTGTCTTGTCCTGGTAACACTAGCAGCTCTGAGGCAAGGATGAAGTAGGAAGAAGCACTCCAGTACACTGTACATGAAGAGGAACCCAATCTCTCCAGGATGAAACCCAACCCCATGCTCAATGTGAGATATTCTTGATTTAACATGAAGTGCAATAGCATCAATCAGTAGTGATGCTATCATGAAGGTTGATATTATATGAAGTATCCAGTGGAGTAGGAACCATAACTGAAGCCAGCTAAGTGTGGATACTGCTGTGTTAACGAAATGTCTATCACGTTCCTTGAGATAGTATATGCATGCAGCACTCTTAGTAGAGTTATCATTAGTAATATTACCCAGTTCAATTTCGTGTTTACGAACAGCTTCAACATAAGTTTCTATTGACACTGGAAGGTTATTATTTTTAGGATTATACACCTTATAAATATGATATACAAATAGTTCTAATTCTTCACATCTTCTTTGTATCCCATACATTAACTTTGAGAATATGAAGCAACTGACCAGAACACGAAATAAAGAATAAGTGTACAATGCAAGAGCAGCTCTTTCAAGATTATAAGTATCATTTGTTGATCTACCTTTATTCTGTTCACAATAAAGCCAAAAGAATACTCCAGCAGTGGTAGCAAGTAGCGTAAACCCGATGATAAACCATGTGACATAATGACACAATCGTTCACCATGCAGTGGTGTATTGGTACGCTCATCTTCTGTACTAAAGAAATTAACATATTCCTTTATTTTCTGGTTATAAAGTGCTTTTATTGGATCTGTTTCCATTAGATCACTCTCTTTAGTTTCATCATTAAAAGGATCCAATGGCAGTTTATCTTTGTTACCACTCTCCACACCACAGCATTTCTTTTTAAAAAATTTCAATATTCCTAACAGACACTCATTAAAACTTTTAAAGTGTTTAATATACAGGCACCACAGTGCCCATACGAACAATACTTGAGATACAGCATTGGCTGTTGTTGAGAATAACAATGATATCTTACTGAGATCAACAAACTCTTGAATCAGTGGTTTAGTAGTTTTATTGTCAACATTATTCTCTATATAAAGGAGGGAATTGATTTATCAATACTAGATCTATCTTACCTGGTTTAATGTCTCTCAGTGCAAGTTGTGGTAGTTCATTTTCATTTGTAGTCTCATTGTAATTGAAGTACAGTGTGTAGCATATTGAGGAGTAGTCATAGGAACATGTAGCCCAACCAATGATGTACATAACAAGAGGAAATATGTTGATAGAGAGAGCTGGGATAACTATGCAGATCATTATTATACTTAGCAAACAGCATATAAATTCAAAAATAATTGGTATGGATTCGATGTGACTCTGGACCCACAAAACATTATCACGTGAGATTGATAGCTCTCTTCTTGGTCTTATCCATTGAAAGGTTACAGCACTCATCAAAGTAAAAAAAATTGGAAATATCCATTTTGTCACAAATTCTACAACAATGAAAGAATGAAAGTGCTATCACTCTAACATTCACTATAATACATAGCCTTACTTCTTACACAAGTGCAGGTACAACAGCTATTTGGCATAATGCAGAAGCTTTACAGCAGCCCTGGATACAAAACAGCAGATGCAAAAAGGAGTGAGCCAAGGAGTGATAAAAAAGGATCTAGTACTATAGTTAGTGTATAATGTAGCTATAGAAATGTGATATGCAGTGATAGTAATCTCTTGTGGTGGAACAAGACTAACAATGAAACTTAATAGTACAACCCTTGATGCTCAGTATCTAATATAGCAACAACAGCAGATTAAAGCAGCATAGTAATAATAAGATAGCAGCAAGATTAATAATAATAGTAAAAGCACAGCAATAAACAATAACAATAATAGCAATATAAAACAATCTAGCAAAGCAATAGTAAAAACTAATAGTAAAAGGAAACAGAAGGTTAAAGGAGCTATTTTTAGCTAGTGACACTAGTTATTAAACTAACTACAATACCGACAAAACCAAAGGTAATAGATAGATAAGCAATGTTCAAGTTAAAAGGAATACTGGCACACAATATACGTAACCTGAAACTAAACTTCCTCCTCTTCATTGACTCAATGAATTCCTGCATCACCTCCTCCGGAATATCTTTATATTCATTGCTTGCTTTGTCGCTAATCTTCCTTATAACACGTTGTCTTGTCCTGGTAACACTAGCAGCTCTGAGGCAAGGATAAAACAGAAAGAAACAATGTAGTACACTGTACATGAAGAGGAACCCAATCTCTCCAGGATGAAAGCCAACCCCATGCTCAAAGTGAGATATTCTTGATTTAACATGAAGTGCAATAGCATCAATCAGTAGTGACATTATCATGAAGGTTGATATTATATGGAGTATCCAATGGAGTAGGAACCATAACTGAAGCCAGCTAAGTGTGGACACTGCTGTATTAACAAAATGTCTATCACGTGCCTTGAGATAATTCTTGGCATGTTTATCAGTGATGTAAATACCACTAGTACTATCAAATTCATTCAGTTCAACTTCAAATTTGATGTTTTTAAGATAATCTGTTACCATGTCTGAAAGTTTTTTATCTTCATTAAGAGGAATTATGTGAGCAGGAGTAGCTTCATTAGTTCCATTAGGGGTAACCATTACATTTGTATACCTCATTAATATAGTATACCAAATAGTTCTAATTCTTCACATCTTCTCTGTATTCCGTACATCAACTTTGAGAAAATGAAGCAACTGACCAAAATACGAAATAAAGAATAAGTGTACAATGCAAGAGCAGCTCTTTCAAGATTATGAGTATCATTTTTCAATCTATCTTTATTCTGTTCACAATAAAGACAAAAGAATACTCCAGCAGTGGCAACAAGTAGCATCAACCCAATGATAAACCATGTGACATAATGACACAACCGTTCACCTTGAAGTGGTGTGTTAGTTCGTACATCTTCTTTACTAAAGAAACTAGCACTTTCCTGTATTTTCTGGTTATAAGGTTTGTTAACACTTCTTCTGTTGTGGTTATTTCCATTAGATCACTGTCTTCAGTGTCATCATTAAAAGGATCTAATGGAACCAATGGAATTTTATCTTTGTTAGTCTCCACACCACACATATATGGCTAGTTATAGGGACCAGATAAACTAAAATTGTCATCCAGAAAACCTGTTTCTGAAGTTTTATGGTTTCAATATTATTGTTTATAAAATCAATTGTGCTTCCACATATACCATAATGTTGTTTTCACCTATTTTTTGTAGCTACACAAAGGAAAGAAATCTGAAAAACATGAAACCAAAAACCAAGTAATGATATGTTTGGGTTTTATAGTTTTAGGTTTTACCTTATAGCTTGTTGCATATGTACACAATATACATGTTTGGGTTTTTGGTTTTGTAGTTTTCAGGTTTTACCTTATAGTCTGTTGTATATGTACACAATGTACGTATTTGGGTTTTTGGTTTTGTAGTTTTCAGGTTTCCAATGTACATGTTTGGGTTTTTAGTTTTGTAGTTTTCAGGTTTCTACCTTATTGTCTGTTGCATATGTACACAGTGTACATGTTTGGGTTTTTGGTTTTGTAGTTTTCAGGTTTCTGCCTTAGAGTCAGTTGCATATGT